GTCCCTGAAACATTATTGGTTGACAAAGGAATTATTGGAGTAAGAATTAGGGATATGCAGTATTTTGCACATAGTAGGAACTTAAATATTTTTGGGTCAAACTTAATGTTTATTGAATGAATGAATGAATGTTATTGTTCTAGACTTCTAATTTAGCCACAGAAGTTGTATTTTTGGCTTTGCAATGTTTGGCTGAATGAGAGCCCTAATCTCTCTGAGCCTAGGGTTTTCTCATTTGTAAAGAGTGAACAGTATTACCCTCTTCACTGTCTGCTTCACAGAGATATGATGAGGATGGATTACCTTTTTTAAAAAAAATCTATATCATGCTTTGAGTTCCTCAGAAATAGATGTTTTATAAATGAGGTGTTATTATGTTTAATGAAACAGATAATACCATCGCATAATGGATAGTACCAGCCTGATGGATATTAGATACCAGAATAGTCATAACACATATAATCAATCATAAATTCAATACCCTTGGATCAGTATTTAAGCCTTAGTTCGTAATGACCAATTGTGGTTCAAGAAAACAGATGATGAAATGCACCTTCCTCCTTTTGAGAGAGGTGGGGGATTATAGGTCTGGAATGCTGCATACACTATGAGACATAGTTCCTGTGTTGTTTGGTTTTATTGAACTTTTTTGTTATATGGTCAGGCTATCTGGAAGTGAATGATTTAAAAACAAAAGGTAATAAAATTTATCTTTCAAAAAGACTTCTATATTTATACCATGTTGAAAAAAAAAGGTATTATAGAACTTTTCAGGCAATTATCATTTTATCAAGCTCTTCAAGTTAACCCAGCTCCCAAACCTAAAGACAAATCAATATGAGGGAGATAAAAAACCTCAAGCCTGTGATAAACGGCCGTAGTGAAAGTTCCAGAAGGCTTAAAGAAAAAGTTCAGCTATGACCCCATGATTGTTTTCTAGTCCAACGGTCCCCATTTCGAGGGCCAGGGTCTCCTGGTGAGTTGGGGGAAAGAGAAGGGGCAGTGGGACTTTTAGACCTTAGTGTTATCAAACAATCAGAAGGCTTCTCATCTCACCCTAGTTGAATAGCAAATCAATAGCTAATCCAGGGGCCTGTCTCCAACACAATCATATCTACCTTTATCTCCACCACCCTTACAGTTCCCTCCCAGTTCTCTGCAAACCCCTAACCCTCCACCCCACCCCTACTACTCAGCCTAAATACCAATAGGGCCTAAACCAACCCTCTCCATAGCAGCTCTGGAGATGGCCATTAGGAAAACTCCACCTCTACACTCATGGGGCAATGACCAGGGAGCCTTCCCCTTTTTAGTTTTAGGTGAGATAGATTAGTCACACAGGATCAGGAGGTAGAAATGGATTATGACCTATGGCATAGATATTTCATTATCTTTCCCTACCCCCACCATCTTCCTGATCACTGTCAAAGGCACCACCGTCTTCCCAGTCACCCAGGTTTTTACAATATTGACTCTTCCCTTTCCCTTATCCTACTCATTGAGGAAACTGCCAAGTCTAACAAACTCCCTTTCCACATCTTTCATATCCAATTGCTCTGCATTCATACAGCTAGGCCCTAGTCACTTCTCCAATGGACCACAGTGAAGGCCTCTTTGTTAACTGAGACTAGAGCCTCTCTCCACTCCAATCCACCATCCTCCACACAGCTGCCAGTTATTCTTTTTTAATTTGTTTTTGGTTAGACAATGGGGTTAAATGACTTGCCCATGGTCACACAGCTAGTAAGTGGTCTGAGGCAGCATTTGAACTCAAGTCCTCCTGAATCTAGGGCTGTGCTCTATCCACTGCCACACCTAGCTGCCCCTACAGTTATCCTTCTCAGTCCAAGTCTGAACATGTCTCTCCTCAGCTCAATAACTCCAGTAGCTCCCTACTGACTCTGGGATCAGATTTACAATTTCATCTTTTTCTCATGCTCTTTTCATTTTTATTTTGTATTTTATGATATACACTTACAGTTAGCAGTACAGTAGTACATATATGGGATTTATAAATAGCTTAAAAACTTCACTAAGACTTAGGGATGTTATAGATACCAAATTAGGGTGTGTGCTCAAAAAAGATTTACTATTAGGTGTGCACAATCCAAAAAGTTTGTTTTAGTCTATGAATTTTCTGGGAATTTGCTCTGCTAATCTTCATGTCACATTCACAGATTTCTCAGATTATTCTTCTCCGTGTTTTATGAGAATGATGTCTTGATGCGTCTGAGTTCATTTGCTGAAGGGGTAAGTGCTAACCATCTGGCAAAAAAATAAAGCAATAAAGGACTCATGACTCTAGTATCTGTGTATGCTGGAGCCAGCTTTTACCTCCCCATCTGCTGACTTAAATTTTCAGTGTATTTACACCCCAGAAATTGACAAAAATCAGGGCTTGATTTATTGTTTTGTTGATTATCTAGTCTTCAGAAAGTGCTGGAGAAAATGTTAATAATAATGCAGATTAAACTTAAAAGTGTGTACACTTTTTTTTTTTGGAGAACAGGTTGTTAAACATTTACCAGCATATATCATTGTCAAATATTAGGTGCAATAAGCCACAAATACCGTGTTAAAGAATATGAGGGCTCTCAGTACTGAAAGTATCCAAGACATCTCCAAAGGTCTCATGATGGAAAATGCTATCTACATCCAGAGAAAGATCTATGGAGTTTGAATGCAGATCAAAGCATACTATTTGCTTTTTCTTTTGTTTTGTTTTGTTTCCTCTTTCTTGTGGTTCCTCCTATTGGTTCTAATTCTTCCTTACAACATAAGTAATGTGAAAATATGTTTAATAGGAATGTATATCAGATTGCATGCCATCTTGAGGACAGGTGGGGAGAAAAATTTAAAACTCAAAAGTTTATGAAAAGTGATTGTTGATAAATCAAAATAAATTAACAAAAAATAAAAATAAAAACATTTTAAAAAATATGAGGGCTTGGCACACAGTAAACACTTAATAAATGCTTTTGGCTTGACTGATTTGCTCCTCTGTAAAACCAAGAGGTCGGATTACATGTTCTCAGAGTTCACACCCAGCTCTCTCTCATATTAAATGACCTGATAATTCTGTGCTACTTTTATGCAATTTCATCCAGCCAAAGCTGATGGTTTTTGGGTTATTTCCCTATTCATTGGAAGTGGGGGTGGGTGGAGGGAATACCTCTGAAAGATCAGCTGTAATAGAGGTATTGTGGGATAGTAGAAAGAATGCCCTCTCCTATCAGTAGGTAGGCCTGCATTCTAGTTGCAACTCTGCTTACTTACTATGTGAAAGATCAGTAGGATAAGTAACTTCTGAGCCTCAGTTCTGTCCTCTGTAACACAAAGATAACAACACACAGCTTGTTGCTAGGTAAATGCTCTGCAAAACTCAAAGTTCTATATAAATATGCCGTGTTGAGGAAGATAGGATGTTTCGTCGTTGCCTTGAATATTATACATCTTTTGGGTGGCTTGTTTGAGATCAAAGTCCTTTTGTTTGTCAGCAGAATTTCGTGGGTCACATCTGGGATCCAAACAATATCTCAGTTTTCATAGCTGAGGTGAAAAAAGGGCACGAACGAGCAGGGTGAACACTTGTTCTCTTTGCCTTCTTAGGCCAGGAATCCTGTCAGCACGTAAACTACTTGAGGAAAGGGACCAAGCATGCTCTGTTCTCAAACACAGTGACCTGTACATTGAGGGCTCAAAGTACACAAGGAAAGACTCAGCCTAGGACAAAGCAAAGAAATCCGTTAACAGGTTTGCCGTTTCTAAAGGTTCACTTCAAGGCGGAAGAAGAGAGAGGGAGAAAAAAAAAACCGCTGTGTTTATTTCCCTGTTGTGTTTGCAAGGGCCCGAAGCCTCTCAGGTTACGGAAAACACAGACAGGTGAGATTTTTAGATCTGGGAGCTAGAGAATCCAGCCTTCCTTTCCGGCCCAGGGCCGGCACCTCTAGCCACCCAGTTTAGGAGGAGACAGACATCTAAAGATCGCTCCCTGCAAAGCAGACGGCAAAGTGCCTGGAGCTGCGGAGGTCGGGTTCCAACTCCAGCCACGCTGCTACTGTATAAGTTTGGAATGTACTGTATGTTCCCACAAAGTCAGCCGTGATCTCACATGTGTGTGCACATGGGTTCAGAAGCTTGGCCATCTCCTTCCTCCCTCCCTCCCTCCTCCAGACCCTTGAGGTGTACTCAAGAAGGTGAAGAGCTGCCTCAATTCCCTCATGCCCTCTTTCAAGGGGCAGACCTGTGATCCCAAACTTGCGTCAATTTCCCTCGAAGAATGTTTTACTAAACATAAAAATAACTTCAGGATTATTTCCCCACTCTCCATCCCCACCCCCATTTCTTGTGCTCTACCAAAAGGCAAAAAAGGAGGCAGAACCCCACAATCATCATTGAGGGTGAGAGGTGCAGAGAAGGGAGAGAAGTATATATCCCCGTCCCTAAGTTCCTGGAGAGGGCATTTCTCAGCCCCTTCTTTCCAGATTTCTCTCCTGCACCCCGCACCCCCCTCCCCCCCACCGAAAGCTACTGCATCTGCAATCTGGTGAAATTCTTCCTTCTCCTCTCCCCCTCCCGCCATGATTTCGGCAAGCCCAGGGAACCTGAAAGAACGGAACCATTCGATTGCAAGGCGATCTGAGACAAACCCACTCATATCCCCGGCCATTTCGCAAAAGGGGTGGGTGGGTGGGGAAGAGAGCACGATGTACGGTTTAAAAAAAAATAATCTGAGTTGGGATTTCCTTCTGGGATTTGCATTGACTATGCATGTAATGGGGGAAGGAGCGTGCGTGCGTGTGTGTGTGTGTGTGTGTGTGTGTGTGTGTGTGTGTGTTGGGGGAATCATGAAAAAAATGTTCTTCCCTTTTAAAAAAATTTTTTTCAGACGTTAAATTCTTTTGCAAACATTCATGCCTAAGGAAGGGTTGGAACAAACCTGAGCCGCCTGAACCGGTCAGACAGGTAAGGAGGCTTGTTGACACCGTTATGTTTGCAGGGCGCATGCTCACTCCCAAGTTTCCTGGTGCATTTTCTATTCCACCTTATGAAACTTTTTTTTTTCTCCGTGTGGTCTCACCCACGATTTAAGAAATAAGCGAGGAGCAGGCGGAGAGATCGAGGCCAGGGTGGGGGCCCAGCTGGGATACTAGAGGGCTCGGGGCCCTGGGGGGAGTGTAGGGGAAAGGCGAGGCAAGGCAAGGCAAGGCGGGAAGGTGGGGTGGGGAACCCTGGAATCCCCGGGCAGGAGAAGCAGCCGTCTCTTGCGGAGTTCTGAGAGAGAGGAAGAGAAGAGGGGGAGAAGGAGGCTGCTACCCGCCCGGAAAAGTTCAGGGACGCGAGCTCGCCAGTCTGACGGGGAAGCTTGAACCAGGTAAAGGTAGAGGTTACTCGAACCGTTCTCCCCTATTCTTCCAAACCCCACCATGCCCAAAGTCTTCCTGGTGAAGAGAAGAAACCCAGTGGCTGCGATCCGCAGTTGGGATGAGCTCCCAGACGAGGAAAGAGCCGACACCTACATCCCAGGTGAGCGGGGAAAGCGGAACGGGGATGGGACCTCACCGCGTGGGCCCCCTCTCCCCAAATGGGAAGGAAGCGGGGGCGCTGATGGGCCAGGGCATGGCTTCCCATCCCCGCTGAGGGGCTTGGGGTGGGGGGAAGACTGGTAAGACCAAGGAGGGGCAGAGGAGGGGGAGGCGGGGACATTGGACAAAGTGCCCCCAGTGGGCGCTATTACCCGGGCACGACGAGACCCCCGGCTGTAGATTGGGGCGGGGGAAGTGGGGGAGAGCCGACACAGAATTAAATGTTTGTGTGGGGGGGGGTTACGGGAGATACCTATTTCCCTGATTTGATTTCCACCTCCCGAACACTCCTACCCGAGGACCTTCCCCTAACTCATCTCCGCTAGAAGCGGGAGATGCAATTCAGCTGATCAGACCCTTGCAGCTCGCCCGCTGCCTCTCATAGAAAGCTTGCTCTCAAGACCCTGGCGCACAGTGCCCACCCGTGTGCCTACGCAACGCTACCCTGCTAAGCTTCGGTGGCGACCCCCAGAGCCGCCCATCAGAGCTGCTGTTGGGATAAAATTGGGAGGGGGAGTACCGTGCTCCCGCTTCCCCCACCCCATTCTCGTCCCCTGTTGACAAAGCAAGAGAACCCACTTTGTCGTCTCCCCGGGGCTCCTAGCTTCCCCACCCAAACGCCTTTCCCACTTGGGAACACTTGGCACTATTCCCAGGTCCCAGGCTGGGGCCGAGGCTGTGGCGGCCACAGCTAAGGCACCGCCCGGAGGTCAAACAGTTTGCTTAGTCCTCTCCCCACCCTCCGGGCTCCCAGGACGGACCCCCGCGGGGACTGACTCGCCCATGTTCGGTGTTGTGTTTTCCCCTCCCCCCCCCGTCAGTGAGCCTGGATTGCATGCTCCACTACAGCACCGAGGACTACCGCAGCGAGAGCAGCAGCAGTAGCAGCAGCGAGAGCAGCGGCAGCGGCAGCAACGGGGACACCGGGGGCGCCGACCTCTGCTGCCTGGAGAGCAGCAGTGGCGGCTCCCTGCAGGAGCCGGAGCCCAGGGATCATCTCGCTCCCCAGTCGGGAGCACCGGAGCCCAGGACCAACGAGGAGCCAGTGCTGCACCTGGCAGGAAAGCGTCCGACCGCCAGGTCTAAAATCAAGGTACTAGATAGACTGTGCCCCCACCCCGCCCCCGCCGCGCAGCCACCACCACCACGCCCTGGCGTCTACCCCTCTCCCGCTCCTCGCCCCTCCCCGCCCCCAAGCCCGCTCTGCGCCGCGCCCGGGAACCTGTGCACGCAAGCGTCGCCGGCTCGGTGCACCTGACTCTGGGCCCGGGCCAGCTGCGCTTTCCTGCAGGGCGGCAGCCACAGCAGCTGCCTCCGGGGCTTGGGCACCGTCATGATCCCTGATGGATTGCTTTCTCATCACAAATGGATGTATGCACAAAGGGGAGCGTGGCCACGTACACTCGAGTAGTAGGTGTTTTTATTGCACCTTTTGTAGCTTTCTGCTTGTTACAAAATGGCCCTCTCGTCATTTGGTGAAGGCGTCGGGTGCAATTTTTGTTGCAGTTCAGTAACTGTCGTTTGTAGCGGAGGTAGACCCCACACAGTCTGAACATCTAAAGTTGCCCGGAATCCATATTGAAAATGTTTGGATTTTGCAGGGACCACCGAAGGGGTTGGGTTCCCGGTGTGCTTTGTAATCTGAAGTAGTTTGCATTTCCATTGATCTCTGTTGTTTCGGGGTGTTTAGTAGAGTAGGAGGTGGAGGGAATTCCCACCCTTCCGCCGAGGGCAAACTCTGACATTCTCCTTTAAAAGGAATGGAAGTACAAAGGGGCCTACCAAAGGTCGAGCAAATCAGTTAATTGGAAAATGGGATAGTAGCTTTCCTACAGAACTTTTTCAATGCTCCGTACTCCAGCCTTGATCAAGCCTCCCCCTTTATGTGGTTCCATGCGAATTGGTGAGACCAAGCTATTTTCAGAAGGGAAGAACTTTATTTCCGAGGAAATTGAATAGTGTTTAATTCTGTGTGTTTTCTGTTGGGAGGGGTTGGATGTGTGCTGGGGCTGTTTGGTACTGAGTCTTTTAACCATTGTTAGGAGAATGTGGGGTGGAGGGGGCCAGTAGCACCAAATACTGGAGTCGTTAAGTGATGTTTCTGGTTGTGCAAAGTCTTTTTTGCCGGAGCTGCCTTGTCTTGAATTACTGTCTCTATATCTTTGATTACATTCATCTGGTCTTATTCAGTGATTTTTAAATTCTTTTTTTTGGGCCAGAAGAGAGGAAGGAATTTATTTATTCCCCATACTTCCAATTTCCCTCCACACTATTGCCACTTGATGGAAGTGAAAGGCATCGATAGGAGGTGTGGGAATACAGGAGAGCATCCCTATCACTTTATCCATAAACTTGCCAGAATTAGTAGATCTTTTTCTGATTGGGGCAATTAATTGTCCTGTTCACTCTCCTCCCCACCGCTTTGTGTTAAAGGGAGAATAAATTGCTGGGGAATAAGGCTAGGGATTAAAGCATTTTTCCTGATTTGGCTGTAGTGCAAATTTAGTTTTAGTGGCACCTTGTGTCCTTATAGAATAATTTCCATTTCCCTCAAGCCCGTAATGAATAGAATAGGAATTCTTCTCCCTCTTTGCTTTTCTGGGTTTTCAACTAATTGTGTCTCTTCTCATCTGAATTCCTAGCCCCCACTAGCAAAAGAAAAGATTTCTTCCTTGCTTTTTTGTTATGCAGCCACAGTACTAGGTAGTTCAGAGTGTGAGGAATATCTCAGAAGGATGGCCTGTGAGATCGTGGTAAATATAAGATTATCATTAACCCATGTGACTGGGTGAATTTCCAGAAATTTAGAACTCTTTTCAGTCTATCATGTTAACTACATAATCTTTAAATCACTTGAAACTTGTCTAAGAAATACTGCCTTAAATGGAAGAATTGTGTGTCTAGTTTGAATATTCTGCTTGGACAGCCAGCTATTATGATAAAAAGGACTCAGGAAAGTGGAAGCAGTTTTCACCAACATTTTATTAAGTGTTAACAGAATGTACACTAGCATTGTGCAGTTTGCTGGGGGAAGATAGAAAGTTTAATTTGTATATTCAGTAAAGAAAAGGATGTAGGATTTCAACTGGTGGAACTGGGGAAGAGATTTCCAGACATAGTGAACAGCATAAGAGCAAAGGTTTGGAGGGTGGAGACTGTGTGTAGGGAATGGTGAGTAGTTCATTTTGGTTGAAGCATGTGATATGTGGAGGGGAGCAGGATGGTATACTGCCAGAAAAGTAGGGAGGAACCAGGTTGAGCAGGACCTTTAATGGCAGTGAAGGGAGGTGGAGCTTTATTGGTAGGTCATGGAGCAACAGAAGGGTAATGAGTAAAGAGGATTGATTTGCCCAGGTTGTAACAAAGATAAACCTAGCAGAGGTGGGAAGGATAGTTGAGGGGGAAGATAGTTGAAATTATTTGTTTGGAAGCTATTCTAGTATAAACAGATGGTAAAGAGTATGCCTCTACTGAGGTGGTGGCAGAGAGAAAAGAGAAGAGACAAATTTGAGAAATATCACGTAGCATTTAGTAACTAATTGGATAGGAAAAGTGAGAGAGAGAAAAAAAAAAGAATTGGTTTCAATATGGGTGCCATCTGAGAATGATGGCAGAAATAATGAGGTCAGAAGGAAGAACTGGTTTAGGGGAAAGATAGTAAGCTTGATTGGAGATGACTTGGGTTTGAGTTGATGGCAGTAGGATATCCAGGTAGGGGGATCTTCTCTGTGCAGTTGGAGAGTGATCTGGGCTAGAGATTTAAGATTTGGAAATCATCTGGCTTCAGGCTCCAAGAAAGAAGTAGCACATATATTTAAATATATCTATATATATCTACATCTATTTAATATATTAAAAATACATGTATATATTTTTTAATCCAGGAAAATAGCTGTCCCAAGAGTGTTGGGCCTCCTAACTTTTTCCAACGAAATTGTTGCCGACAAGCAGAGGAACTCTTTTGTTGTAGTCTCAGTTTCTCTCTCTCTCTCTCTCTCTCTCTCTCTCTCTCTCTCTCTCTCTCTCTCTCTCTCTCTCTCTCCTCTCTCTCTCTCTCTCTCTCTCTCCCTCTCTCTCTCTCTCTCTCCCTCTCTCTCTCTCTCTCTCTCTCTCTCTCTCTCTCTCTCTCTCTCTCTCTCTCTCTCTCTCTCTCTCTCTCTCTCTCTCGCCCCCCCCAAAAAAAAGGCATTGCTACTGAAGCCATTCGACATCCCAAACATATGCACTGGGATATTAAAATCATCTCAGAGTCTGTGTTACTTGGGCAATTGACCCTTCAGGTCCAAGATAAACCATTGGCTTTATACAAAATTTTCCATAGGGAGGAATTTTTTTTTCAGCGCGGTTTCCTTGCTCTACTTTTCCTTAAGTAACTTAAGACAAAAATATCAGAAACCTGTTTGGCCAACCAAGTGTTTAAAAAATGCCTTTTCAGGTGTTTCTACCGACAGTGCTAATTTCTGGTGGGAGTGGGCATTGTATTGATAGCAGGAGGCCAGCTCATTTCTTTGATTAATGGATAGCCTAAGTCTCCAAGTGCCATAGCTACTTTTTCCAAGTATGAAGGATTCTTTTTCCATGTCAGAAAATGTAGACCCCTGCATGAATGATACTTTTATTATTTTTTGAGCGAGAAAAATTCGATACCAAAAAGCTACCATGCATCCCAGAAAGTTTTAAGTGAATTTGCATTTATTAGTCATAATATTTACACATATTTGAAAATAGTATATGTGGGAGGCATTATTTATTCACTCTGCTGGAGGTATGTATGCTTATTTATTACACTGGGTCAAGTTGTGTATTTTGTTTGTTAGAGTTGAGTAGAATAGATAGAGGGATCTGGCCTCTTTGTCCAGAACACCTGAGTTCTAGGGGGCTTCCAACCTTAAACTGGCTTTACAATCCTAGGTAACTAACTTAATCTTTTAGTGCCTGAGGCCCTTCTAAGTCTCTAAATTATAGAGGTATTTCTAATTTGCATCAGGACCAAAAGAAAATCTAGAAGAAGGGTTGATCTGAATATGGATTCATTGACTCCTAGCAACACCCCCCCTTCTCTCCTCATCCCAGCCTCACACCTAGTCACATTTGGTTTAGAATTATGGTGTTTTTTGAGCTAGATGGAATCTTACTGAGTTCATTCAGTTCTATGTGGCCAGGTTGTAACATAAATAGAATAGAATAAAAGAAACAGTTTCTGCTCTTTAAGAGCTTGCATAATTCCACACAGATCTGTTCCTTAAAACAAAAAAAGGAAAAAACCAAACCCATCTCTGCTAGATGTCCCTTTCTCATTCAAACTTCTGGAAAAAAGTTTTCTTAACCCATCTCTTCCTCTCACTCTTCAGTCCTCTGTAATGTGGCTTCTAAATTTTTCCCTCAACTGAAATTACTCTCCATAGTTACCAGTGATTTCTTAACTGCTAGATCCAGTGACATTTTCTCAGTCCTCATCCTTCTTGACCTCTCTGCAGCATATGAAGTTACTGATCATCTTTCTCTTGAATATTATCCTTCTCTGGGTTTTTGTGACACTTTAATACTAGTACTATATGTTCTACTTCACCCTCTGTGCCATCCCCCACTAACCTTGGATGTACCCTAAGGCGCTCTCTTTACAGTAACCCTTGATGACTTCATCAAATCCCATGTGTTCAACTATCCCTTCTATGTAGATGGCTCACAGATCTATGTATCCATCCCTGGTATTCCTTCTAAGTTCCACTCCTTTGTATTACTAATGCCACTGGCACATTTTAGGCTATCCTGTAGGCATCTCAACTCATTATATTCAAAATAGAACTTGTTACCTTTCCCCAAAAACCTTCCATACTTAAACTTGTCTGTTAGCTCTCTGGAGCATCACTATCTTTCCCTGTTCAAAACGTAGTTATATTCTTGACTCTTCTCACCCCGTCAGCCAGGCAGAGCACTAGATACAAAATGGAGATAGGACATGCAAGTGGATGTTCTGTCGAATTGTAGATCACAACCCACCCACCCGTGCCAACTCATCCTATGACACACTTGTCCCTGCCATCCCGTGAACGTTGGGGTCAGTCCAATGTGTTGGAGGGCATCCCAGTTTTT